CCCATATATATATATATATATATATATATATATATATATATATATATATATATATATATATATATATAAATATATATATATATATATATATATATATATATATATATATATATATAGTGTTAATCCAACCTTGTTTAACTTGAAAGCTAGTCAATCCTAGGACCCATAATTCTATTCCCGCTAGAACTAGAATATCTCGGGTAATCCTAATCATACTCGATAATTAGCCAAAAATCAGCCCCTAATTTTCGAGTTGGATTCGGGTGATTCTTTATCTTTATTTTCCCAAGGCTCTTCACGATCCGTTGCAGTGTTTTTTGGGCCCCACTTAGCTTGAACAAAAACTTGCTTCTTGCGATCATTACACGTCCTTCCATGGGTTTGAATCCTTTTCTTGACATCTCCTTTAAATTCTTAAACATTCTTCTTTGGACTTTGAATTTTGGGTTTCTCCATTAAACTTGGATCTTTGAGAAGATTCTGACTTGTACTTCGTGTTCTTTCTTTCAATTGATCAACTCTTTGTAGATCTCTACTCGCAAAATTTATTAGGCGTGTCGTAGCATCTAAAAAAAATAATTTATTATTTTTCGTTACTTTGTTTCTTATTCTTAAAATAATATTTATTAAATTCATAGGTAGGATAAGTAAGGGCTGATCCCACGAGGAAAGATACTTTTTACGTTATGAAAAATCAGTTTACTTTGTCATTTTTTATTGGATAAAAATGACTACCTCAAATCTATAAACTAAGACTAAAAGATACGGGGAGTTTGAAAAAATGTTTTGAAAAGATAAAATAAGAAGTAAACTAAAACGACACATTAGAACATATTTCAAAATATCAACCCAAGGATAAGTACAACATAACTCCACCAGAAGCCCAAACAAAGAAGAATAGCACACATAACACAATAATTAGAGATTTAAACAATTTTAGAAAATTAACAAAGTGTTTTATAATGTAGAAAATAAATATCTAGGATCATTAATTTGATAAAAATTTGGATAATCATCAACCAACTATAAATTAAAACAAGGGTTAGGCTGAAGATAAGGTCCACCAACAGCTCTTCCCTATTTTCCCGTTTTATTAGTTCATGTCAACACCAACCCTAACTCTAAATTCTACTACCCTTAGCAACCCAAAGACCAACCCTTAGATTACTACTAAGTATAGTGCAATAAACTATTTGGAAAACATCAACATAACAATTTTGCAGTAAGATGAAGGCTATTTAACAAAATCACTTCAAAAACTTTGATTAGCAAAAAACCACTTAACGAGTTAGCCTAGTACTAATCAAGTGACACTTGGTTTCTAGAAAAGTTTGGCTATTTAAAGCACTTTGTATTTTAAAAGAATATCATCTTAAATTGGAATAGGTCGCAATCCTAATTTGACCCAACTAAAGTAAAATCAATTAAAAAAATATTTCTCGAACACCTTTAGTTTGATTTAATTTAACAGAAGCACAAATTAAACTTAAATTATCTTAAGAGTATTAAACTTGAAGTAAAAGTTTAAACCCATAGACATAGATGAATGGAAGCCTATGTGGATGACATGTTGATCAAGAGCCCGGGAGCAACAAACAACCCGGCCAACATGAGACTATGTTTTGAGATCATGGCCAAATACAACTTGCGCCTCAACACCAAGAAGTGTGTCTTTGCAGTAAAAACTGGCAAATTCTTGGGGTTCCAGGTAACGAAACGAGGGATTGAGCCTAATCCAGAGAAGATCAAAGAAAATAACTGAGATGAGGTCGCCCAGTTCCTTGAAGGACGTCCAACGACTGACCAGACGGCTAGCAGCGCTGAGTCGTTTCTTATTTGGTCAGCCGAGAAAGCCTTACCCTTCTTTAAGGTCCTGAAGAAGGCCAACGCCTTCGAGTGGGACCGGGAGTGTGAAGAGGCCTTCCAACAGCTGAAGGAGTACTTAGTTTCCGATATAGTTTTGTCTTAACTCAAGCCGGGTGAAACTTTGTACTTGTATCTGGGCATATCCCAGAACGCTGTAAGTTCTATTTTGATAAGAAATCGAAGACGGCGATAGGCCTATTTACTATGTGAGCAAAGCACTTAACGGGGCAGAAAGCCGGTACACTGCAATTGAAAAAACAGCGTATGCACTTTTTATAACGGCCAAAAAACTGACCGCGTACTTCCAAGCTCACGAAGTAGAAGTACTGACCGATCAGCCACTTGGACCAGTCCTCCGCAACTCAACCTCTTCAGGAAGGATGATCAAGTAGGCAATGATGCTCACCCAGTTCAAAATTGATTACAAGCCTAGAACTGCGATAAAGGGCCAAGCCCTAGCCGACTTCCTAGTTGAATTGACCGGCCTAGAACCTGAGGCGGGACCATCCCATACGGGCGAACCGTGGTGGGACTTGGCCGTTAACGGGGCTTCCGGGCCGAAGGGATGTGGGGCCGGGATAGTTTTTACTACCCCTGAAAGATTCAAGATTTACCATGCCTTCGTTTTAACTTTAAACTTACCAACAACGAGGCGGAGTACGAGGCACTAGACGGCGGGCTCAGATTAGCCCGGGCACTCGGTATCAAGAGAATGAAGATCCGATTTGATTCGAGCCTGGTTGTCGGACAAGTTAATGGAGAAGTGGAAGTGAAAGAAGAACGTCTCGCCAGTATAGGGATCTAGTCTGAGCTCTTCTGAGAGAGTTGGAGGAATTCTGTCTGACTAGGATACCCCGGTCCAAAAACACTAATGCTGATATCCTTTCCAAGATGATGCAAGCTTGTCCGAAGCATGTATCAAAGTTGGCTAAAATTGAGATATTGGACCAACCGAGTGCTGACCGGTTGGAGATCGCAGCCATTTAGCAAGGTCAGAGCTCGGTTGAAGGAGTGATTGAAGCGGATGATGAGTGGAGATACGACCTCATGGAATACTTGATGACCGGCCAAAAACCGGACGACGAAGAGCGGGCCAGGAAGGTAGTCTTGCGGGCTCCCCGGTTTCAGGTTCTGGACGGTCACTTATACAAACGTGCTATCGAAGGTCCTTTGCTACGTTGCCTCACCAACCCGGAGGCAGAACGGGTGATAGCCGAGGTACACGAGGGAGTTTGCGTTGCCCATCAGATGTCCCGTACACTTGCCCAAAGGATAATTCTGCTCGGCTATTATTGGCCGACCATCGTTAGAGATTGTGAAAGATATGTGCAAAAATGTAGGACATGCCAAGTCTTTTACAAACATCCCGGCCGGCTGCCTACATACTATCAACGAATCTCTAATGTCATACCCTTTGCCTGGTTTGGGATTGACATTATTGGGGCGTTCCCGGTTGCGCAAGGCGGGAAGAAATTTGTGATGGTCGCTAGAGATTACTTCACAAAGTGGGTAGAGGCCGAGGCAATGGCCACCTTAACCGTGCGACAATGTGAGAAGTTCGTTTGGAAGAACATTATCACCCGGTTTGGGTCACCAAAGATGATTGTAACTGATAACGGCCCACAGTTTCGCAATCCACGGTTCATAGCATATCTGGGCAAAGAAGGGCGCAAATGGTTAGAAGCGTTGAGATCAAGCACAACAATGCGTCGGTAGCATACCCCCAAGGAAATGGCCAAGTTGAAAACGCTAACCGGACGATAGTGGACGGGCTGAAGAAAAGGTTGGGCGAAGAAGGGCGCAAATGGTTAGAAGCGTTGCCTCATATCATTTGGGCGCACAGGGTGACTTCTAGAAGAGCAACCGGGGAGACGCCGTTCGTGCTCACTTATGGATGTGAAGCCCGGTTACCAATCGAGGCAGAATTCCCAACATTTAGAGAAGCCGTGTATCAGCCCAGTCAGAACGAGGCTGACCACATGGCTGAGTTGAATCTGGTTGAAGAGCGGAGGACGATAGCAGCTGTCAAAATGGCCGGTTATCAGCAATCAGTAAAGAGATATCATGATAACTGGGTTGGTCCACGTTATTTCCAAGTGCACGATAAAGTCTTACGAAGAAGGGATGCCAGTAAGCCCAACAAAAGAGGCAAGCTAGTGCGCAACTAGGAAGGGCCGTATCGCATTAGGGCGATTATCCGCCCGGGCACTTATCAGTTGGAAACCATGGAAGGTGGACGAGTCGACCGGCATTAGAACTCTCACCACCTGCGCAAGTTTTATAGATGAGTGTAATATGTTCCCGGTTATGAGATAAAACTTGTTCATTTCAGAAGTATTGTTTTTAAAGCCAATTAGAAATTGGTTACACACCAGTCTAACCGGGTAGATGTTCAATCGAAATGTGACATCCACAAAAAAAGCTAGCCGGCCTGGTCAAACTATCCGTACAGACACGGAATCAAATGATGTAACCAAAAATGGAGAGCATCTCGGTTTGGTTAGGTCAAACAAGCCGGCTTCGTTTACACCCAGGCAGAAAACCATCCTTTTGGAAAGGACATGGTAAATTTGTCTCGCTCGGGTCAAAACCGTGTGAAAGAGATCGGTCGGGTCCCATCTCTCCTCGGTCACCTAGTCAGTCTTCCGAAAAGACTTCAGAAAATTTTATATTAGACCGGGTAGATACAGCCGGGCTGAAGCTGAATAACCTACCCGGCAATGAATTTAAACTTTAACAAATCATTTTAAAGCACAAATCATTTAAAGTAATTAGGCTCTAAACACATAGTATGAAATAAGAACTTCATTAAAACAAAATGTTTTACAAAAGTGCTCGAAGGCTGATTATTACATCAGGGAATAAAACAATAAATAATAAAGAAAAGGCCTATGGACCGGCTCTTCATTGTGAAGCTCGGGTAGGGAGAAGGCCTTTGGTTCAAACCTTGGATGCGTCGCTAGAGGATGGCATAAAGGGCCCGGCGCTCTCGAAGCCAAAGGTCCCGATCTCATCAATGACATTGGCTGAGACCTCATGCTTATATAGCCCTTGGAAGAGGCGGATGGCAGCCTCCCTGTCAGGACTAGCCTGGGCAGCAAACTGTTCGGGATCTTGGGCTGCCCAGACTGCAGCATATCCAAACCGGCCACTTCTCTCCTGCTCAAGTTCCGCCTTCAGACGGGCAACCTCTTCAGCACACCGGGCGGCCTCTTCCTTCAGCTGCGCCTTCTCCCCCTTAAGCTCTTGGATCTTCTCCTGATCTTGAGAATTGGCCTCTTTGGAGGCCTTCAGCAGTCCTTCGTGTTTTGCGTAGAGCTTGCGGAAGGCCGCACAATGCTCCAGCAGCTTCTCCTCGGCCTTCTTTTCCTTCTGATGGGTGGCTTGGGCATCCTACCAGCAAGCCACCATCATGCCCTTCAGCCGGGCCTTTTCCTCATCCTTGGACTTGACAAGCCGGGTAAACCATTCCTGGCCAATCCGGCCGACCTGCTTCAAAAAAAAAGATATTTCATGGTTCTAGAAATATTATGACTGAAATGTGAGAAGGATTGGGGGGTTACCTCTTGCAAATCGGAGCAGAAAGCTTGGAAGAGCTCCTCATGACACCGGACCATCAGAACAAAAGACCAGGGCTCGCCGCGCTTTTGGCCAGCATTGGAGGACTAGGCAGACTGGTCTACAGTCTGGGTCCTCCGCCTCTTCTTTTGAAGGGCCTCCTCGGCAGCTTCTTCTTCGCCACCGCCTCCTTCAGTTGGCTGGCCTCCCTGACTGGCCTCTGATGTATGATCGGTCTCCATCAGCATGTTGTGAAACTCGAGGGTATCTATGTTGATGTAGATATCCCCGGATTGGGCCGGCTGCTCGTCCAATGTCAGCGGAAGGCAGGTCGGTTGATGGCTCCTCCACATCCTTGATGCGGGGGGTGGTAAACTAGGAGTTGAACATCACCACTGCAACAATTAAACAAGAGACCGGTTAATGAAAGAAAGTTGCAAAAAGAAAACAGGCAAATAAGGAAATGGAGTGGGGTCGGACCTTTCTCCTTCTTCTTCCCCGGCGCAAGGAACCGGCGACGGCGGAGATCGGGGCTTTGGGCCCATGCATGCGGCGGAGAGGAATGGCGTCTGGGATCGCCTCCTCCAGAACGATCTCTGGTTCAGGGTCCGTCTCCCGACCCAGGTAGACCCCCCACTTCCCAACATTCTAGGGACCATGGGTGGAGGTTTCCCCGGTCTGGAGGGTGGCTTCCCAGGCGGCCAGGTCATCAGTTTCCCGGGGCTTAACCTAAACTTTCATTCTTTTCCCCCAGGCATTTTGGGAAAAAGGGAAAGCACCCGGGGGGAATTTGATGGAAACATATTTGTCATTCCAACACATGTTGGAAGGAGGAAGGCCCGAGAGGAATGCCCGGCCCTGGTGGGAGGACACAATCACGAATCCAAGGGTTTCCTTGGACCCGGGCCGGACATCGAACATGTGGTCAAAAAGACGAGGAGAAAGAGGGATGTGAAGAAAACGATAGACATTGATGAAGCTACTGAGCATACGGGCATCAGGTTGCGCAGCTCGTGGAGAGAAATAATATTCTTCCACGTTGCCCGGTAGGACAACTGGTAACCATCGCGCATCAGGTTGCGCAGCTCGTGGACTTGAGCCTTCTGCATGTACGATGGTTGCTCCAAGAGCAACCGGTCATCCAACAGAATAAAGCCCTCGTCCACAGACCGAGCAACCGAGACTACTTGTGCCGCGGAAGTAGAAGGGGCACAAGTGGAAGCCTCAACCGGCTTCTTCTGTGGAGAAGCAGCTGGGCGCTCTGAAGAAGAAGAGGACTGTGAACTGGAGGTCTGAGACCAGGCACTAGAACCGTAAGAATGAATGAAAAGGTTCTGGCTATCCTCGTGGTCAGACATGACTCAAAGAAACAAGTGGGAAAAAGGAAACTTACTTGAGACTAGAAGACTCGGAGGACTCGAGAGACAGTAGTAGCAACAGGGTAGATTTATAGAATAGCAAATTGCAAGTGAGAAAATGTGGTGGGGAACCTCACTTTATATAGGGGAGGTGCCGCCCGGCCGAAAGAATAAGGGAGTGACATGTGGCAGCCAAAATGATTCGTAATGATAACTTCTCAGAAAGACGAAACGACACAATAAATCGGCGGCGCCGTACCGGATCCCAATAAAGATTCCCCCGCGTTTGACGCCCGGGATTTCGAAATTCAAAATTCAAAATATTAGTTTTGGCGCCAGTTTACAAGTGCCATTTTCCCGCCAAAACCACCCGGAGAGTTGAAATTTGAAAAGATGCTCGCATATGGTTCCCGCCCCCTGATGGTACCCACAGAGCCGGGAATCGGAGGACTCCTTGATGGGTAATAACCCATGGATTTCACCCGGTAGGTTCGCACCAACTGGGAGGTATCAAAACCAACACCACGTGACCCAGTCGACCCGGGACCGGTCAGGGGTGAGAAGATCCGAAATCACAGACATGGCTTCTTCTGGCAAAGGCATACAAACTGACCGGTCGGATGAACAAAGACGTGTTTGACGTGCTTAGAGATTATTATAAATATGACTAAAAGCCTCATTTGTGAGGCATGTTCTAATTAACCTGCACGGCTTGTACTTTGTAATTGGTCCCAACATCATTAATAACAAACCGGATTACAGGTGTTTTCACCTACAACCCTGCGCTCATTTATACTTAATATTTGCACGGTATTTTACACCATCAAGTATCATTCAGATGTACCTATTTCTAGGTACAGCCGACGGTATCATATACCTTCTCGAGTTCTCGCATACCTTAGATCCATCATAGAATTTACTTTTATTAAAAATGATGACAAATTAAAAAAAGAAGAAAATTACTCATAAAAAGAATCAGATCTGGATCCAGGGCAAATTGCGAGAGGGGCCATTGGTTTCCAAGAACATCATCATATCCGTGGACCATCGTCCATGACTTTGAGTGATGTCCAAAAGATCGGAGGGTCTTCAGCGAAGAAGCATTTTATATGGCTCAGTGGGTTCCAAGTTCTCCATGGGTTCCGTGTCCAACCTTCTCAAGTTCTCCCACATCACTATCATTGTCGTTTTCCAATCATAACAGAAGAAAAGTTCACACCATTTTTTATCGAATAGATAATGAATGAGCATCACTCCTTCATTATAAAATAAATACTCCCTTCATCCCACTGTCTTTGTCCACTTACTTTTTGGCACACCATCCAATGCACTTCTTTAATCCATTTTATCTTGTAATTTGTATATTAAAAAATTATAGAAATTATATATTAATAATCTATATGTTAAGACAAATCAAACAAGATCACATGACTATATTCAGGCTTACACATTGAGAGAATTTGATGAGTCAAAGTGCTTAAATGAACAGTTCCAAAAGTCAAAAGTGGACAAAGACAGTGGGACGGAGGTAGTATAATTTAAATAAATAAATTTTAAAAGAAATTGATATATCAAAATTATATTTTAACATAAACCTAGTTATAATAAATTTGGAATAAATTCTAAAAATAGTCTTTTTTAATATAGTGTTTTTCCAAATCAATCCTTATTAAGTTTTAATTATCTACGTGGTTCTCTATAATTGAGATTTATTCTCTAAGTAGTCCTTCGTAAATAATATTATTTAAATGATGATTAATTGAGGATTATTTTGATATTTTTTATCAACTAAATTTACAGTGGGTTCTTAAAATGATCAGTTCAATGAAGTATTTTCCCAAAATGATTTTTCTAATTAAAGATGTGTACTTGATTCAAATTTTAAAAGTTTATTTCATAGGTTTGTAACAATTCATGTATTATGTATAATCAATGTATTTTTTTAATTTTACATTGAATTGTATAGAAATGACCTTTTTAAAATTATAATTTAAGTTTAAATGATAAAAATATCAAAATATCCTTTCATTAATCATTATGTGAGTAACCTTATTTACAAAGGACAACCTAAGAAATTAATTCAATTATAAAAAATCACGTAAGTAAATAGAACTTATTAAGGACTGAATTTAAAAAAAATCTTATTGCATTAACTTATAAAAATTTTACCACAACAATAAAGATACTCGGTAACAAATTATAAAATCTAATCAGATAGGATTTGAATTTTGAAACATAAGGCTTTAGTGGAAGTTAGAGTATAAAACTTGTTTTCTCCACCTCAAAATACGGTACATAGAACTAACTAAAAGAGGGAAAATAGAAATGGAAAGTGAGTAAGGACTAGACTTAAGAAAAATGTTAGGAAAACCATGCTACACTCACACCAAAAACTGTACCCCGCAGTTATATACAAACATTTTGATGGTTTACATTGATCCAAGTGTTAGTGCGTTAACAAAAATTTACACGGACACAAAGTATTGGTGTATTAATAAAAATTAGTTTTACAGCAACACAAAATGTTGGTGTGTTAGAGTATATAACAATCATTCTTGGGCGACAACCACAAGCTTGAGCTTTTGGTTGAAATGATTCCTTGACATGGTATCGGAGCCTTGATGACGAAGAGGTCACGAGTTCGAAACTCACCGCCACCCAGTTTTAAAAAATTAAGGTTTCACGTGTAAGGCTAAAAAAAGGTCATGCCTACACGTGAGGGGGCGTGTTAGAATATATAACAATCATTCTTGGGCGACAACAACAAGCTTGAGCTTTTGGTTGAATTGGTTCCTTGACATGGTGCAAACTGCAAACCTGCGGGGTACAAAGTGGGGTACAAAAACTTGGGATACTAATAGCTTTATAGGACTATACTAAAAGATGTACTCCAAAATGGCTAGAACAAGTGCTACACAAAATTCTCAATCACAAAATTCTGAGTGTGGACAAAATAATGGAGGGATGAAACACAATATATAGTGAGAAAAGTGGAAGTACAAATAAGGTACATTTTTTGTGAACCCCTAGCAATCCTCTAAACCTAATAGCTACAACAAGTGTTACATGACTATGCGCGTGTAACCACCGCGCAGAAGAGGCGCGGCCGCTATGGTGATTGGATCATAGTGTGAAATGAGTTTTTTTTAATTTTAACAAATTAAAATTTTACACAACTCCACTTTAATTAATCAAAATAATTTACACATTCACATCTCGATACTTTTCTTCATACTCATTATACCACACATATTTTTATCACTCACATCATATAGTAATTGAGCCCATCAATTTGTTTGCTTATATTTACTAGTGATTTCATTAAAAAATATAGCCTTGTCACCTCTTGTTTTTTAAGAATTATTATATAATTTTTTAATATATAAATTTTATTTTTAAAGTTTGAACTTTTAATCAAATAAATTATATTGAAAATAAAGTCGTTCATGCCTCGTAACGTATAATAAAAAGATCTATAGGGAAAGAAGGGATTATTAGTTTGTTCACTCACATTTTTTTGACAAAAAAGTTATAATCTCATAATATGACAACAATTCCAATTGAAGCACATACGGTGTTCCATTCATAAAAGTGACGATTCCCACCAAGGGGTGGACACAGTATGATTCCGGTTGACGTCTTTCGGTTGCAAACAAGTGTCTGAAGAGCCAATTTCAGTTGCAAACAAGTGTCTGAAGATTGACATCATTCCTACCTCCCATGCAGCCCCGCCTATAAACTGCTCGAATTCTTGATCACTCATGGAAGGGATTCTGTGGTGTGACCAAATCAGGCCGAAGTGAAAGGGTTTACCTAGCAATTGAGAGGGATCAAAATCATTGATTTTAAAATAAACCTATGGGTACACTAAAATGGAGTATCTCATTTGTATACCAGAAAAACACAGAAACACACAGAAGTGTCTGTGTTTGTCTGTGTTGTCTGGTGTACAAATAGGATACCCCATTTTGATATATCTCTAGCATGCCCCCTCATTTTAATACAGTTATTTTGATTGGAGTGCGGTCAAAAGAAGGTAGGGTTAATGTTACTTTTTCAAGTGAGAAGTCTTACAGGAGCATGCTACCCTCACGCCACTTTTTATCTCATTCTGTACCTCTACCCTGATATAAAATGTAGGTACAATACTGACATAAAATGTAGTAGGTACAATACTGACATAATACCAATTTTGCACTTACATTTAATGTCAAGGAATTAAAATATAAAATGAAGTACAAAAATGAGGTAAAAATACAATTTTTCAGTCCTACATTAGAAAAGAAATTTACCAAACTAATCCAACAAACATTTAAATCAATTAAAAATAGGGAGTAGCATGTTGTTCATCATTACACCGCATGCCAAACTTAGCCTTTATAGTTTTAAACTGGAAAGTATGGAACAAAAAGGTGGAATTTGGTTGGGGAAATTTTTTTTGTACTATATCATCTCTATTCTCTACCCCATAACACATTCATCACTATCTGATCCTGGAATTTGTGACCCTTATCTTCAATTATAATTATAATTAAAATTTATATGCTACTTCAACAAGCCATTAGCAGAAAGAGCTAAAGCTGTGGGAGGGGTAATTAAGGTATAAGAAATAAAATTGAAGTTTGTAGAGATGGGTGGAGGAAGAATTGCAGAAGTGAACAAGGAGAGGGCCAAGGAGTACCAAGGAAGGGTCACACCATATGTCATCATAACCTGTTTATCTGCGGCCATTGGAGGCTCACTCTTTGGTTATGACATTGGAGTTTCAGGTCACTGATTTCAATCTCTTGGAATTACTTTTAGTTTTTTGCCCCTTTGGTTGAGTTGGTAGATCTTGTGTTTAGTTAGTTTTTATGTATTTTTTCTGTGTTTGGTTCAGCTGGGAGTCAAGTGTGTGAAATTACTGCTCATAATGAAGTGAAAACTGTCTGATTTTTTTTAATGTAGTGACAATTTTCCGTGTTAGAATATAAAAAATATTTTTGGATCTATAATTGCAAGTTTGGGTTTTTAATTGAGTTGCTTAATTCAGAGTCTTGTTGGAATTTGTCAATTTCAGCTGCTGTTTTTTTTGTGTGAAAATAATGCTGAAATAACATCTATGGATGAATTTCTGGAAGAACACCTAAATCATTGTGGAAGACATGTCCCACAATAAAGCATTAAAAGAAATGGTGTTCAATCATCAATATTTTAAAGAAAGCGATTTACTTATGCTACTTGAGATTTGTTTCAAATAAAGGGCATTATGGAATGACATCAATGTGTTCAAATGTGTATATATAACAGGGGGAGTGACATCAATGGATGAATTTCTGGAACGGTTTTTCCATAGAGTGTATGAAAAGAAGCAACACGCGCACGAAGACAACTACTGTAAATATGACAGCCAAAGTCTTTCGGCATTCACATCGTCTTTGTATTTGGCAGGACTAGTGTCTTCCCTGGTTGCATCGCCTATCACAAGAACCCACGGGCGTCGCGTGAGTATAATATTTGGTGGTGTCAGTTTTCTTGTTGGGGCTGCTCTTAACGCCTCAGCTATCAACTTGGTCATGCTTCTTTTTGGCAGAATCATGCTCGGTATCGGCATTGGCTTTGGTAACCAGGTTAGCATTTTCATGCTTGCTTCAAAGAGGTGTCGTTTTGGTCATTAACTTACTATATATCCGCTTTGCTTGGGTTTTTAAGGCGGTTCCATTATATCTGTCGGAGATGGCTCCAGCTCACATTAGAGGAGCCTTGAATATGCTGTTCCAGCTAGCAACAACTCTTGGGATCTTCACAGCAAACATGATCAACTACGGAACAAGCAAGCTTCGGCATCCGTGGGGGTGGAGGCTTTCGCTGGGCCTTGCTGCACTGCCGGCTCTGCTGATGACAATAAGTGGAGTTCTACTTCCAGAGACACCAAACAGCCTAATCGAACAGGGGAAAGGGGAGAAAGGAAGACGGGTTTTACAAAAAATAAGAGGGACTGAGAGTGTGGACGCGGAGTACGAAGACATGGTGGACGCGAGCAATCTGGCAAAGTCGGTTAAGCATCCCTTCAGAAACATTCTGCAGAGGAGAAACCGGCCTCAGCTGATCATGGCCATATGTATGCCAACGTTCCAGATACTCACAGGCATAAATATCATACTCTTCTATGCACCAGTCTTGTTTCGGAGTATGGGGTTCAGAGGAGCTGCAGCCCTGTATTCGTCTGCTTTGACAGGAGGGGTTCTTGCATTGTCCACGGTTGTGTCCATGGCCACGGTCGATGGTTGGGGGAGGAGAGTCCTGCTCATTGCTGGTGGAATCCAGATGATCATTTGCCAGGTGATTGTGGCCATAATCCTAGGCCTGAAGTTTGGGGATGACAAGGTACTTTCTAAAGGGTACTCAATCCTGGTGGTGGGGTTTATATGCCTCTTTGTCGCGGCCTTCGGGTGGTCTTGGGGTCCTTTGGGATGGACAGTGCCGAGTGAGATCTTTCCAATGGAGACGCGATCGGCGGGGCAAAGCATCACTGTGGCTGTGAACCTCTTCTTCACTTTCGCAATCGCGCAGTCTTTTCTCTCGCTTCTCTGCGCTCTCAAGTCTGGAATTTTCTTCCTCTTTGCTGGGTTTATCACCATAATGACCATTTTTGTGTGTCTCTTTCTGCCTGAGACAAAGGGAGTGCCCATTGAAGAGATGATGCAGCTGTGGCAGAAGCACTGGTTCTGGAAGAACATTGTTTCTGGTAGCCACTCACAACCTTACCACACTAATAATGGAGAGCACGAATCTAACACTAATTAATATGGAATCCTGATTACTGTTGAAAGTCTGTACTTGTTACTACCTTCAAAAGGCCTTTTTTTAGAGAAATAAATCTTCAGCTACATATCTTTCTCTATCTATTCAAGCTTACGCTTTTTCTAAAGTAACCATTCAAGAGTCAAATACTCATCCGTCCCTAAAAATTGTCACAATTTGACTTTTTTGGTCAAACTGTAGCATCCTTTGAACACGAACTATGAAAAATGTATATTTAGTTATATTATAAATTTATTAAAATTGAGTTTATTTTGAAATATCCAATGTTTAAAATATTGAATTATTTTAAATTATATTAGTGTAACAGTTTGATCAAGTCAAACTATGTCGAGTTGGTATATGGTACATCCGGATGTACCTAGAAATAGGTACATCCCGGTAGTACTCATTCTAAAATAAAGTAATACTCATTTTCGTACAAATATAAATATTCATTTCGAAATACGTAGTACTCATTCTGGCAAAAGTAATACTCATTTTAAAATAAAGTACTCATTTTTACACATTTGTGCAATATTAATTTACAAATAACTGAATACACATTCTAAAAACTAGTTGTATTCATTCCCACTTAAACCAGTATTCATTCTTGCCCTAAGAGAGGATTCCAATCATCCAAAACTCCATCATCATCACTAACCAGTCTTCCTTCTTCTTCTTCTTCTTCTTCATCACCGCAGCAGAGACTCCATCATCATCACCAGTCTTCCTTCTTCTTCTTCATCACCGCATCATCTCTGCTGCAGAATCATCAGCAAAACCCCATCATCATCATCATCGGTCTTCCTTCTTCATCACCGATCATCATCATCGATCATCATCATAGATCCGCACATAATTCCTTATCCGACTTCCGATCGACCAGCCTCCTTCATCGCATGTTTCTTGCGCTTCCTTTCACCCTATTTAACGCCGGCTGTACCTATCTCTAGTTACAGCCGAATGTATAATATAATTTGCGAACTATGTCAATCTTTTAGGGACAGAAGAAGTATAACACAATATAATAAAAGCTTGAAGACATTTAACATTTGTTCTCCTCCTAAATTCATCGTTCATTGGTTCCTAAATTTGAGATTTTTGATATTTTTCAGCAAAGAGTAAAGAGGTGAACTTGGTGGCTTATTTTTGTAGGCCACTGTGAGCTTTGGTCGCAAGAGTACTCATGTGCACTTAATCCTTAGGCCCTATTTGGTACATATAATTCAAATTATGGAATTGAAATTGAAGACTTCAATTCCAATTCTGGTGTTTGGTAGCATAATTATTACGTGGATTTGGAATTGATAGTGCAAAAAATGAATTGAAATTGGTGAATTCAATTCTATGGAATTGAATCTCATGGAATTCTAATTCCAATTCCACCAATTCTGTATACCAAACGGACCCTTAGAATATGTGAATTTAGGAAGTTTTGATTGGGTTTCTTTGCTTGGTTTTTTATGCATGGAAGAGGCACACAAAGCGTTGGACAAAATGGCCTAATGAACTTCACACCACATGTTGTTTCTTCCTCTCAAAACACCTGTTTGGTTTATTTGGGGTCCATAAAGCTTCAAGTAGGATTGTTTCCCTAAGTTGAATTTTTTTTTTAAATTTTTGAATTGAAACCTCAAATTCTTCAGATGGAAAATCACATGTAGTACACACGAAATCCTTTTATTTTAACTTTTTACAGAAATATCCAAAGGATAATCACGTGTATTACTTACGAAAAATTGTTTATTTTATAAATTTGCATGGCACTTGAGGGCTCAAAGGAAAAGTAGTGGACCAGAGACCCCACAAAATTGAGAAGGTATATGGTACATCCGGATGTACCTAGAGATCGATAGGTACATCCCGGTATTACTCATTCTGAAGTAAAGTAGTACTCATTCTCGTACAAATATAAACATTCAGTTCGAAATATGTAGTTTCATTCTGAAATAAGGTAGTACTCATTTTAAAACAAAGAATTACTCATTTTTATACATTTGTCTAATATAATTATAATAAATAGTGTAGTATTCATTCTTGAAAAAGCAATATTCATTCTCAAACAAGTAAATACTCATTCTCAAATAAAGTATTATTTAATGCTTTCACAATTGAAAAATTCAGTACCATCATGGTCCTTATGTTTCTTCCTCTCTTATCTCATATTGCTTAAGTTCATTCCATTCCTTAAAATCTGTTCAACTCCACCTAGGGTTTCCTGAGCTTCCGCCGCCCCCACCATCGCCTTCCCTCGTCCTCGTTTTTGCCTCCTCGTGTCTTAGCGCCTCCCTTTGTGGTCGCCTGTCCTTCGCCGGATTTCTTCGATTGTCACTCTCCTCTCCTCCTCCGCGAACTTCTTTGATCATGCATCTTCTTCCGTTTCCTTTTACCGGCTGTACCCAAAGACCGGTTGTACCCATCTTTGGGTACAGTTGGATGTATAATATAATTTGCGCACAAAATTGCATGTGTTACGTGCGAAATAATTGGGACAGAGGGTCCACTCACATGCTTCACATTTCTACTTTCTCACTTCCCAATTACTCCTTCTTATCCCACTTCTACGTTCCAACTACTCCTTTCCCAACCATCTAACTCCACCCACCCCTTATTATCCCAATTCTTCACTAAAATCTCATATATCTTCTCTTCAAATTTATCTCACTTTCACACTACTCCATAAGACTCAAAATTGCTCAGATATTTTTTATTATTTCTGTCGAAATATTGGAATAATAATATTGCTCCTTTAATTATGAAATACATGATAGAGTATATATAGGAGAGATTCCTAACACAACTATGAATAGAGAATGGAAACTAACTAACATACAACATCTACTACAAATAGGACTAGGAAGCTGACTAATAATGAAACACTACCATAACCAATACTACCAGAAGTAATATTAGTTTTATTGTCTAACATCCCCCCTCAAGCTGAACTCTGGCTGAAGCAAGAGAAAGCTTGGACACTAGCTGGAAACTGGAAAAGACAAGTCTGACGTGCGCCGGTGGCTGCTGACGTCGTTGGAGAAGAGACAAGTCTGACGTGCAGTGGTAGCTGCTAACGTCGTTGGAGAAGAGAGAAATTGACGTGCGTTGGTAGCTGCTGACGTCGATGAAGAAGAAAGAAGATTGACGTGGGTTGGTAGCTGCTGGCGTCGAAGAAGAGGAGAGAAGGTTGACGTGCGCTTGTAGCTGCTGACGTCGAAGAAGAATATAGAAGGCTACTGGAGGTGCCTGTTTGACTGAAGATCCTTGACATTCTTTATCTTTTTTCTTGGATCCGGGCAATGCCCTATTTCTTTTTTGAAGGGTTGTAGAGGTATTCTTTCCTCTTTCACTACTTCCTCTCTTGGCTTTGCTTTTGTGTTGTTTTTTTTGGAATATTTTGGGTAACAAAAGAAAAAGAGAAGAAAGATTGATGATTAGAATGAGTGATTTGAGAGAAAAAAAAGTGGATTAAGAATTGGTGAAGGAAAAAAGATTTGGGGTTTGAGATTTTGATATAGTGAATTGGAGAGCAACTATCATTTTTTTTCCTTTTTTTGAGAAGATAGGATTAGTTGAGAGAGTTTGTGAGAAGTTGAGTTTTTTTTTTTGAAAAACCATGGAGATGACAAGAGAGAAGTTCTGCCTTTAATGGTTTTTTTGTATGATTTCAACAAGGTTGTTTTCCTTTTTTTCGTTTGAATGGAGACGTTGATTTGACGGTAAAAGAAGGAAAAGAAAATAGAGGTGAATAGGGTGGAGCCGCCGTCGCCGGAATTACCGGCGGCGGCGGTGGGAGCAAAGAACTCTTTTAGGTCACCAAGAGCGGTGGCTCTGATACCATGTCGAAATATTGGAATAATAATATTGCTCCTTTAATTATGAAATACATGATAGAGTATATATAGGAGAGATTCCTAACACAACTAGGAATAGAGAATGGAAACTAACTAACATACAACATCTACTACAAATAGGACTAGGAAGCTGACTAATAATGAAACACTACCATAACCAATACTACCAGAAGTAATATTAGTTTTATTGTCTAACAATTTCTATTGTACTTAGATTTTAGACATTAATACGTAGTAATATTTATGTTAGATGTTATGTTTTTGGTAGTTTCCATTCTTTATTTAGTAGTGTTAGAATTGTGTGTTACTAGATTTTACCCATGCGATGCATGGTTAAAATTATATTTACATATATAAGTTATTTATTTATGTAAATGATAAGTATTATAAAATGAATAAATAGAATATAAATAACTTCAATACATGTCACACCCAAGTACAATGTCTGACATTTAAAAGTATCAAATACGAAACTAACTACAAATTTTAAAAAACTTCTTTATATACAACATTTGAAGTATAGTCCTAGGCATTATTTTCTTCGTCGCAACTTAACATCTTTAATCCTTCACGATTTGTTACAGAGGAGATAACAACATAAAGCTGACCGTGACTAAACACTAGTTTTTTAAGTAGTAGGCCAACATGCGATAAAGATTTTCCCTCACTTTTGCTGATAGTAATTGCATATGAAGTCATGATGGAAATTCCTTCCTTTGAAACTTGAAAGGAATCCTTTTATCCGAAGGAGTTAAATAAAGTCTAGGGATGACAACCTCATGACCAACATAAGAAAAAAAAACTTTTCCGTCGATACTATCCACCGATTGCATTATAAAATCATAAGCTGCAGGCTGTTTAGTATTCAACTTCATCATCGAACTTTGATGTTCATGACTTAAACCAATGTGTTCGTACTGTAATTCATCATAGATCATTGTATTGCTCTTGGTACGTGCATTCTCTAAATTTAGATCTGACATTTCAACATAATCACACAAACTGCTTTCGCATTTTCTTAATGTTAGACAAAACGTGCAACTCTAGAATACAGTTGTTGGGAACATATACCGATTTTGGCAAGATTATAAAATAAACAAAGGTGCAGCAGAAATAAAAGAGGGAAGGCAAAGAAAACACCGATGTATACTGGTTTACCACCTCATGGCTAGTCCTGTTCCCCGAGAGACTCTCTCGAAGCTACCACTACTTATCAAGCTTCAACGGGTGCTTGACAAA